GGCTGCGTGCGTGGGGTTGGGGGGTGGGGAAGGAGCTCGCCATCAGCTCTGCGAAAATGGAGGAGAACAATGAGTGGGTGAACCGGGCGCTCTGCGTGGAAAGCGAGGTCTGCATCTGTGTCACCCGATACTCCGCCTGTTCTCCTGGCAGGCTGGGTGGGTGGGGTTGGGGGGTGGGGAAGGAGCTCGCCATCAGCTCTGCGAAAATGGAGGAGAACAATGAGTGGGTGAACCGGGCGCTCTGCGTGGAAAGCGAGGTCTGCATCTGTGTCACCCGATACTCCGCCTGTATTTTTATTTCGCTTCCTTTTGGTCTGTCTTTTCGACGCAGTCTCGCTCTGTTCTTTTGCTTTGCACAGGAGAAAAATGATACTTCTCAGTCTTTCTGCCCTCCTGTTTAATCATCCTGTGGAAAAAACGTCCCTTGGAAAACAAGGTCATATTCTTGCTGGACTTTGCTTCCTCATCCTTAGATCCCTTTGGAGTGCCTGTGGAAAACTTCTAGCTTTATAATTAATAATTGGAAAAAAGAAATGGCAAATTGAATTAATTGTGATTTTTTCTGGGGGGGACACATCCTTTTTAATAAACGTTTTGCAAATGTTCTTTCTTTCCATCCCCAGTGGAGAGATCTGTCCTAGATTTACTGCCCAGGGGTACTGCACGCAGAATAACTTAGACTCCCCTGCAAATCTAAGGTCGAGGGGGAACAGTTACACCACACATTTTCCCTGCCCTCGTAACACCATTTTTTAACTCGGGAATGGCCTTCAACTGGACTTGCAAAAAGGTATTGGAAGCCGGTGTTTGGGTGCGTTTCACCTAGCTGGCTTTGGGACCCCGGGCACAGCGCGGCAGGCTGAGCACGCAGCGAGTCCGTGGTGAAGTGTGTGCGGTTCGGTGTTGGAAGACGAGGATCACAGAGGGCTCTGTAGGTCAGGACGAGACAAGCCATGAACTGGGGATTAACATGGCAGATTGCGCAGCAGATCAGGACAGATGTGTCTGGAAGAGCCGTGTGGGAGGCCCGGGACCAGACCCGGTCTGGCAAGAGGTAAAAGAGGTCAAGGTAGGGGGGCATCAGCAGATCTTTATGGAGAAAGCCAGGACCAGAATAACAAGGTGTGCTGTAGTTAAGGACAGATGAAAACAACGCATGGTGAGGCCCAGATGCGAATTGTCGGGGGTAGCCGTTTGTCAGAGCTGCGTACGGAGCAAATGAATGCAGCAGACAACTGTTCTTCACATCACTTCTGTCTCTGCCCTTCCTGACAGCAGGATCCCTGAAGATGACGTCCGTTCGGCTGCCTACACTGCAGTGCCCTGATACGTCTCAGCATTTTGCTGCGATTACACTGTTGGCGTGGTCCCACCTTACCACAGTCACCACCCAGCAGCAACAGACATACAGATAATCTGTCTCTGCCCTTTGGATTTTCTTTGTAGGTTTGTTTGTGTGTGTGAAGGGTTTAGGGCTTCAGATGAGATCCCTGCGTTATCAGGCAAACTGACCACGGTTGATAGATCAGCAGAGCACCCCCATTCCTTCCCTGCCTCTTTGCAAGAGAGAGGTCTTTCTCCAGCTCAGTGATTATCTAATTTAAATCTTTCCTAGGGGCTTAGAAGCCCCAACACTCTCACTCTTCCTCATAGACATGACTTCTTTTCCTCTATTCTCTGATGACCAAGCTACAAGGTACCCTTTTGAGTCAGGGTGGGCACATCAGTGTTGCTAGCTGGCAGTTCTGCTCGTCACTAGTTTTTGAAATTGGAGGGAAGAACTAAAGGTTTCTCTCCACTGCAGTTTATTGTGCTAGATATCGCCTTGTTGGTTGTGCAGGTAAAAAAGTGTGCAAAGTGCTGTTGCTGTTCGGCCTGCGTCTGTTCAGTGGGGTTGTGGGACTGTCCTTCCTTCACAGCACCCAGCAGCTGCGTCTTGTACGGAAATGCGTGTCCTGCCACAGACTGCCTGACAGAGCTTGAATGCCTTGTGCTGACTGAGGTGCTTCAAGTTCTTGAAGTAGCAGAGATGACCACCTTTCTGTTTGAAAAAGAAACTTAGACTTTTCTGGGGGTTTGGCTGGGTTGGCAGCATCCAAATGGAGCCCAGTGAAGAGACATCCAAGCTAGCATCTCTGCGGTATGACATGCCTTGCAGATACTCGCTTGAGTCTAGAAGGAGTTGAGCTGAATTAGCGTGCCACTTTGTCCAGGCTAAATACACCAAGCTGACCATCATACCTTTTTTTCACTGGCTGTGTCTCCCTGGTGTGACAACACTGTTCGGCTTCCAAAGAAGGCTCAGCCCACAGCAGTTCAGCCTTTTCTGTTACACATAGATACAGTTGCTGATTTGGTTTGCCAAAGAGCTAAAGGAGCTAACTGGTGGCTCACGTGGAGTATTTACAATTACAGGGTCTGAGGGAATTAAAAAGTGGAGGAATTTCAGAAAATCCAACTTCTTGTTTAGATGGTCAAAATGGCTTCTGCAGAAGAGCAAGCTGCATAGATTGAATCTTGTAATACATCTCTTACCAGCTCAAAAATAAGTATCACAAAAAAAACCCCAAAACCCACCATCAATTTTTTTCTGCATAAACGCAGTAGATCCATGGAAACACGCCTCCAACCTTTGGAAAGATTTCCAAGGCTTTTCATGGAAGGAGATCAGGTCACTTTGGAATAATTCCTGCTTCTGAGGTAAACATTTTGCCTAGCTCTGGCAACAAAAATTTTCTTGTAGTGGAAGATCTCTTTGGTTGTTTGACCTTAAAGATGCTGAGTTTCATATTTTTCTATGTTGTGATGACATTAGAATATAATGAGGATTAATATTTTGTGTCAAAAGTCTCTTGTGGGTCCAGCTGCCCAGATGGTAGCCTGTTTTTTAATTATTAGGTGTTTTTATGAATAAGGAAATGTCCGTAACTATATGAAGTAGGGAAAATAACCTTAAAGGATATGAATTTCAGAATAGAAGATAACTAAAAAAAAAACCACTTCCCCAGTGAGCTGTAGTTTCATTTTATTTCTTTTCTTCATTCTAGAGCACGTGTTATTGGTGAATGTAGAAATTAGGATCAGTGAGCTGTAGTTTCATTTTATTTCTTTGCTTCATTCTAGAGCATGTGTTATTGGTGAATGTAGAAATTAGGAGGTGGGACTACTGGGAGTAGGGCTGATTTTGTGCCAGGCAGTTTGGAGCTGTAACCTGGAAACAGTTCAACTTACTTGTGATACTTCTTGTGTTCATGTATTCGCCTCCTGGCAGCTTCCTCACACAAAATTAACCTGCCTTGGGACCATCAAGGTGACCTGATTTTTTTTTTTCTTCTCCTTGTCTGTTGTGGTTTATTTTTATGCCTGTTCCAGTCTCCATTTTTCACTCACTGGGCTTACTGCTGCAGTCCCGGACTCCCAGCACAGCTATTGCCAGTGATTTTAAGTCTTCTTCTCACCTATCTGTTCTTTAATGCTGTGTATTTGTTATAGATTAAAAAAATTTCTGAAGGCCTGGTAGCATCATCTCTCTCAAAGGGTAATATCCTTTTCCACTGATGCTTTTTGGTCCATTTCGTTTCATGATACTCATGGGTTGTTTCTTGCTTTCTCTCACCCCCTCTCTCCAGGTAATTGTGGAAAAAGCACCAAAAGCCAGAGTACCTGACCTAGACAAAAGGAAGTATCTTGTGCCTTCTGACCTCACAGGTAACAAAATCTACCTCCATTCTTCCTGATTTTCAGCGAGAAGGTCTCAGAAGTGCTTTTTACGCTGTGATCAGCACTAAGAAAATACCCAGGCAGGCTCAACATCTTACTCTTCCTCCAGTTTACCTGGCTGTCGCTGTTACATGTGTATACCTTACAGCCTGGATTGCAACATGCAGAATTCTCTTGAGATCTTCTGAGGTGTCCCACTGACTTAGCTAACGTGCATGTGTCACAGCTGACTTTTAACCATGATGAAAATGACTGAATTGTGTATAATAGGCAGTAGCATAATCATCAGTCAATGGTGGCCTAGCTGCAGAGTTGCCAGAGGCTGTATCCTTGATGCAGGAAGGGACAAGTTCTTGAAATAGTGCCGTGGTTTTCCACCCCTGTGGTTGGAGTCATGGCTACAAAGTTCCTTTTCGGAGTGGTCATGGCCATTTTGTGTGTGATTACGTTTGTTTTCATTTGAGAACATGAATGAGTTAAAGGAACAGCATTTCTTTTTCTCGCAGTGTAGAATGGATTGTGGAATACTTTGATGTGCAGCATAGCTCCAGTAAATAGTGAGGAATTTGTTTTCAGGAATTTGTTTTCAAGAATGGTATGACTATTTACACCAAGGATAAATTCTCCCAGGTGTCTTTGATCTATAGGATATAAAGGTTAAGCTAGTTAGAGTCTTCCCACCAGTTCCACCAAAGTTAGAGTCTTCCCACCAATTCCACCAAAGCATTTCATACCACAGTAGGTGGAGTGTGGATTTGGAGGTTACACGGCCTGAGGCATGTTCCTGAGAAGCTGCTAGCTCCGAGTGGATTGGCTGCTGATGTGGTTGCAGCTGTGAAGTTCCTGCTTTCTTTCCTGTGTTGTTTTTCCCTGCTTTTTCCATACAGCATGTGACTTCCACCACCAAAAGAAAACAACCAAGGTTAGGGTAGAAACAAACAAAACCAAGCAAAACAAAAATCATACAAAAGACTTCTTTCTGCATCTAAGGCATGCTCCTCTGTTCCTCTCCAGTTGGCCAGTTCTACTTCTTAATCCGGAAGCGGATCCACCTGAGGCCAGAAGATGCCCTGTTCTTCTTTGTCAATAACACCATCCCTCCCACCAGTGCTACCATGGGCCAGCTGTACGAGGTAAGCCTGGCCCACCTCTTTCTCCTTTTGTTGGAGGGTCTGGAAGAATGCATATCCTCCCTGAGGGACAACCGAGCACTACTCAGCTGGTGGTGGGTGCAGCCTGGTCGCAGATGCCTGAACGCGGACCCCCCTGGCCTGGGCTGTATCCCGTCATCTGTTTAGGGCAGTTCCATCCTGCAGAGAGGAGCCTGGGGAGCCTCATTGTTTTAACTGACTGTTTGCTAGTTGAAAGGGTGGTTGTATCAGGTGGTGAACAGTTGCCCCAGAAGTGGTATGTTGGTCCTACTACTTTAACAAAGTGTTGTTATTGTGAAAATAAACCACTGCATCATTTGTGTTTCAGAGGAAAGATTGTGTCGGGGTGTGGGGTGGACACGACCGTACGCACTAGCTTTCCTGTTTACACAAAGGAGATTTCCTTTTAGCCATTAAAAGAACACAGTATCACTGGGCAACCTGCTGTCTCTACGGACATTGTCAAGGAACACTTATTCTTTGTTCAGAATTACCTTTTCATCACTTGTACTGTATACGTGAGGACCTTGTAGGACACTGTGAACGCTGCTGCCCAGCATTTCTACCAAACAGTGTTATTTGATCGACCTTAAAGGCTTATTCTATGTCCATCAGTGGAATGCTCCTCAATTATATAGCCATTATATCATGGCTGGTTTACAGCCCGGATTGATTTCTCCTTGACTTGTCCTTCTGCTGTGTCAGTGTGTTTTAGTAAGAGAGCTCCAGTATGGTGCTGTGAGGTTTGTTTGACCTGTCACTCTTTTGACAATAACTGGACAATTTGTATGTGGACTGATGAGGATAATACAAGATTAACACACACAGGGAGTTTTCCAGATCTGGACATGTAGGAGGAAGGTAGGTCTAACTGTCCAGAGGTGAGATCAGGACTCTGGTCCTGGCACTCTGCACACTTTTTGTGTCAGTGTAATCACTTAACATCTCAGCTTTACTGCCCATATGTAAAACAGGACTAGAAATACAGCCACTTGTCAAAGTGTTCTGAAAAACGACAAGTATAAGCACATTTACCAAATACTGAAGTATCTGGGGGTGATTTTTGACTTGTGAAAGCCTTCCAAGTCTCTGCTCTCGATCTAAAGGCCGTACCAGTGCTGAGGTCCTGCTGCACAGTCTGCCATAGTCAGAGCTGTGTCTGTTGCATGTTTGCAGCACACGCTGGCTGTGGGTCTTCAAGTAAATTCACTGTGTCCGGAAATGTGACATGCCTGAATTTAGAAGTAGAGCTGTGGCCAGAGAGAGGGAGTTGCTGTACACTCTCTTTGGTATGAGGAAATGAAGACTTCGATGTAAAAGGGGAGAAACAGCGAAGGAGAGATTATGCCCTCTTGTTGTCACGATCATCTCTTGGTTGGGCTTTTTCAAGTGTAGTGAATTACAGGGCTTTGGTTTGTTACTTTGTCCCTTTCTCCCCTTGCAGGATAACCACGAGGAGGACTATTTTCTCTATGTGGCCTACAGCGATGAGAGCGTCTATGGCAAGTGAGCACCAGCCCCTCAGGCATGCAGGCGAGATGGACTGTGGGTGGGGGGGGGGGGTGTTAGAAAGGAGTAAGGAGGATGCCTGAGAAGAGGGGACAAGAACTGGAAGTGAACCACATGCACAATGCCATCACCTTTCATGCATTAATTATAACCATTATTTTTTAAATGGAGGGGAGGGAGGGTAGGGGGACAGTGTGTGAAGGGGTGAACTGAAAGGCTAACGAGGGGTTCTGCGCTGAGAGGTGGGAGCCTCCACGGTTTGTAGCTCTTCTCTTGCCACAGCTGGAAGTAGTTAGCCAGGACTGGAGGCTGCTAGACAAGCCGGTGTCGCGGAGCTTCAGGAGAGTGACTGGGCAGGATAGCCATTTTTGTGTAACCCTTTCACTGGGTGAAGAAGGCATGCCATGTATTGTACACTGACCTTGTCACGCCTCGCCCATGGCACGGGCTGCACTCCTGTGAGCGTTCAGTGAGCTGTGAAATACTTCACTCTGCCCACACAAGGCTGTCCTGTGCTGACAGTCCTCACTCCAGCTGCTACCTGTGAAGCGTTCCAAAAGTATTGTGTTTCCAATCACTTCCATCAGTATTAGAAGGGCTAACTCTGAGGGCTGGGAACTCCTCAGATGTGAGTCAGGAAGGCTGGGGAAAAGAAGGAAGGATTTTTTTTTCCTTTTTTGCTTTAATTGCGAGTGCTGGGCAGAAAAATTAGAGATGACCCTTTCATTATCTTTAGCGAAGTCAACTGATAAACTCTTAAGCATAGGGCTAGAAAGGACCTCAAGAGAATGACTCGCCTACTCCAGCTCTGAGACAGGACTGAATATACCAAACATGTCCACCATGGCTGCTCGTCAAACTTGTTGTTAGTGAGCTTTACTGAGGCAGATCCTGGAGGCTGCTGAGATTGTCTGTTCAGTTCCTAGCTAGTCTACAAGTGAGAGCTTTTCCTGCTACCTAACTTCAGTCTCCCTTGCAGTGCATTAAAGCAACTAACTACTAATGGTCCTGTTATTGGTGAACACAGAAAATTATCTATCAGTGTTGTCCTTGTACCAGTCTTCTGCAGATTTGAAGATGGCAGAAGTCCTCTGGGTTTAGCCTGCCTTCCCATGTCTCATCCTTGTACAGCCCTTGCACCCCATGCACAAGCAGAAGAGATCAGTCGCTCCCACGTGTGTTTTGCTGCCATTTTGTGATTAGACAACAGGGCCACTCTTCGCCACAAGATAGGTGGTTTTAGACTTCGAGAGGAAGTGAAATAGATTCTCTGTAGAATTTTTTTTATAAATTATTTTATTTTAAGCTGGTGGTGTTCTTGGAAAGGTGCCAGATAGATGCTGTCCCGTGCAAGCCTTATGCTGTCATGCCAAAGCAGTTTCCTCCCAGTGGCACAGACAGCAGATTTTACCGTAATTGCCATCACGCTGATGAAGGAGTGGGGTTTGGGAAGTGAGCTGACTTTCAGGAAAATTCTGGGGTTTTATCTCAAAATTGGAGAACTGGACCTGAATTACTGTAAACATTCCTACATTTACGAGAGGGACCCAGAGGGAGGAAAAGACAAGAAGGATGAAGAAGACAGGTAGATTCCGAAATAAGTTGAAGGTGTTTGCGCTATTTACTTTGAAGTTAGATCCCAGTTCTCTGCATTCGTCAGGAATGAGAAATGAAGATGAGTGCTCCTCTGATGGTGGAAGACGGGAAATCAGGTGTCAGCCTTCTCTGACTGCTGTTCCACAGAGGTACGTGAGGCAGAAGAGCAGACTAGGAGTGTGAAGTGGGAGTCACTGGCAGAGCTGTGTGAAGGCCGGGGAAGGCAGCGTAGTCGGGCAGGAGGGTCACTGCCCGTGAGGTGTAGGAAGTAGCAAAAGAATGGGAGAGAAAGGAGGGAGCACAAAGGACGTAGACAGAGGAGTCCTAACGGGCAGGCAGGTAAGGCGGGAACAAAGGATGAAATGGGTGGGTTAATATCCCCAGTATTTCATCCTGAACTTCAGGTTTGCTGTTCCATCATGTGTTCATCTGGAATAAACGTGTTTGGATGAGTTGTACCTACTGCCGACTTACACAACTTCAGTTTCTGCCCACAGCGCTCAGTCCTCTCTTTTTGGCCCACTCTCCTCCAACTACCAGGCTCTTTTCACATCCTTTAAGTGCAAATCCACATCAGTCTCTTGCTTTAGGAAGCTCCGAATGTTCTGAAGCAGAGAACAGACCCAGGAGGCTTCCTAGGGTAAAAGACAAGATGCAGGCAGATGGGGTGCATCTCTCTGCCGCTGTCCCGCTTGCTCACGTGCCTGTCTTATCTCAAATGAGCCCATGCTTAGGCATGCTCAGGGGAGAAGGAGTTGGCATCTGGGGTGCTTGGTTTTGTGTTCAGACCTCCCCTCCCGCTGCTGGGGACACGTGTGGGACTAATCTCAGCCGTTTGTTACATGTAGAGTTTACAGTTTAATTTAGTTATTTTACAGTTCTTTTAACTGGATTGTGGCATTTACTTCTGTTTTTGCGCTAGTCTGGTATTGTACGAGGTAATGATGGTAATTCTTTTTTGTGTTGGTTAGCTGCAGGTTCTTGTAAAATAAAGTTCATACTACTTGAGCTAAATCAACCAATCAATAAAGGCGCATTTGAAAATCACAGGCTTGGTTCAAAACAGGTGACTGTAGTGTTTCTCTCCACACGTGTGCTTGTAAATAAAGGGGCAGCTTGGTCAGAACTTCCTACGACCACTTTTTCCCAGAACCCCAGACTTCCCCTGTTTTGTCTACCAGGACAAGTCACGTCTCTCCTGTTCTTTTGTTACGTTGTCACATGCACACGCTCGAATGTGTCTTGCTGTGCCACCAGCGTGAACTTTAATTAGACCTGGATGACGTGAGAAGGTCTTAAGAAGTGCAATGGGTGCACTAAGTCATTCTGCCAGTGTAAGGCCCTGAAAAGTCCTAGCCGGCTGACAGAGTCCTCAGGGCACCACCATGGCCCGAGACCCCATCTCGGCCCCCACAGAGCCATCAGCCCCTGCCCCAACAAAGCCACAGCAGGACCGGTCTCCACCCCGGCCGGGGGGTCCCCTGCTGCCCCTGCCCCTCAGGGAGCCGCTGGGCCTCGCTGTCTCCTGACACCAGGGCTGGGGTGGGACTCCCAGCCATGGGCAGAGGCCCTGGGGAGGCCCCTCCGTGCCTCAAAGCCCTCTAAAGATAGGAAAAGCGGAGATAAGGAAGTCTGGGACTAACTGAAAAGCAAGCCTGTGGTGGCGACAGGTCTAGGCTGCTTTTCCTTGTGGTTATTTGTGCGCTGAGAGAGAAGGAGCCCTGCTGGGAGATGGCAACACTGGTGGGAGCCATTTGCTCAGCGCCGTAACTCCACGTCAGGCACCGGTGGCGGGGGGAGAGGAGGGGGGTGCGTGCTGGCAAACAGGGGAGC